GTACCCTAGCTGCACTGATGAGGCCTGGAAGGCCGAAACGGATCCGTCTGCAGATATTGGGATTCCTTTCAGTGGATGCTTAGTTTATTATGTCATTCTGATTTAATATAAAAGAAGGTAGCTGCATGAGCAGTAAAATTACTTTTTGTTATTTTTGTTTTTATTTTACCTAGCTTTTGTTTTACGACCACATTAATAATATTGATTTTATATGTTTATGTTAAATTGATGATTTTTGTATTGTAATTAATTTTTTAAGTTTTAGTATTTGTAGTTTCTGAACGCACCGTCAAAGTGTGTGCCACTGATACACATGTGTACGTTCAAATAAATTATTCGTAGATGCTCGTATCCAAGGTCGATCAAGGTCGATCGACATGACCTGTGTTGCGTGAATGGCCATATATGGTGTGAATGGCCATATATAGTGTTTATGTCAATTAATATTGATACTAGCATGCGCAGTTCAAACTACGAATTGGCTTATTGATGACATGCTGTTTGTTAAAATTGAAAAAAAAAAACAATTCCATATTAAATTTGCCTAATTTGTATACAAGACTTATCTAAAATCTTTTTAGATAAGCTATTATTTTTTTAAATATTCTTGAGGTTTTCTCCGATTTTGTTGACGGCAGGGTACCTGAAACAAGAAGTATATGGCACTGTGTTCAAAATACATTACTCACGTATGGTTTAATGGAATAATATATCATTTCGTCGTTTTTGACCTTGTTGGGCAACCCTAGATAGGTGAACTGTGTGCATTTGTTCGTCTTCCTGTTAAAAGATATTGATACACATGGAGGATAGAAGTGTAAACACTGCAAGCAACATGCGATGACCGAGGTAGTCTTTTTCGGTGTTTGTACAGGCTTAGAATTTTTCCGCCCACAACGGAGAACGTTTGTACATCGCACCGACAATTCGAAGATTGCACTTCTCATTTCCTGATGGTTTCCTAGAGAACAGATAAATACTAACAATAACATTTCAATATTGGATAACAACATCTTCAAAATATAATATCACACCTATACTGAATTAATTACACGGATAATTTATTGACGTCAACAGCTTTAATGGTCTTGTTGTCAATGGCGGATTAATGGGAGGGGGTGTGGTGAGGACGGGGCAGCCGGCCTTCTCCATCCCCACCAAATTTTTTTATTATTTAAAAAAAATAATAATATTTTTGTAAAAATTAAGTAATAATAGTAATATTCAAATTTTAAGCATGTGAATGCAATTTCCGGCCATCTAGAGGTGCCATAATCTTTTTTTTTTTTTGGTATAGGATCCTCTATTTGTAAAAGTCCACCCGAACAATTAAATAATATAGTATATTAAACATTTTTAAATGTAAGTAAAAATGCAGTAAAAGTTATCGTGTATATTTCCAAACTTTTAGTGCAAAGTTAAATATTATTTCTTCTTATTGAATGGTAAACAATGAATATGCATAAGTTGATTGTACACTGTATCCAGTTGTAGCTGGATTGTCAGTCAATATCAATACGTTAAAATTACATGCATTATTAATTAGTTAAACCGCTAACTGCATTGTTATTATTTTATTACTTTATTATTTTATAATTTTATTATTTAATCATTTAATCATTTTTCATTCTATTATTTTATCATTTCATTATTATCCTTTTATTAAAATCATTATTTTCTTATTTTATTATTTTTTGTTTATCGTTTGTCGTCTATCGTCTGACGTCAATCGTCCATCGATCATCGCCCATCGTCTATCGTCTCTCGATATATATTGCTATAACTTAATAAATGGAGTAACGATAGTCTGTCAAAAAATTAATGATGATGACGATGACGACGACGATGACGATGATGATGATGATGATGATGATGATGATGACGACGATAACGGTAACAAAAGCGCATTGAGACTTCTGTATAATGGGC